TCAGGAGGCTGAGATCTGAGGATTGTGGTTCGAAGCCAGCCTGGGAAGGAAACTCCAGGAGAGGTTTATCTCTATTTAACAAGCAAAAAGCCAGAAGTGGAGGCACAGCTCAAGTGGTTGAGCTCCACCCTTCAGTGCAAAGGCTAAGAGTGTGAGGCTCAAGTTCAGTCCTCACTACTAGCACACACACGCATGCACACACACACACACACACAGTGCAAACAACAGGCTTGTGGGCTGCTAGCTAAATAATTAAAATAATCCAAACATCCCAGAGTCCAAAAAATCCAGTTATTTGGGATTTAAGTATAATCTGCAGACCAAGTAGGTCTGAATCCGTGTGTTCCTCATTGGAATAAAAAAGACTTAGTAGCATCGATCTTCATTAATATGCAATGGAAATAATTAAATTGTTTAATCAGTTAGTTCAAACTTCCAACATAAGTATTCGAGTTTTTGTTTTTATTTTTGGCGGTCGTGGGGCCTGAACTCTGACCCTGGGTGCTTGCCCCTCAGCTCTTCAGCTCAAGGCTGGTGCTCTACCACTTGAGCCACAGCGCCACTTCTGGCTTTTTTTCTTTTTGTTTATGTGGTGCTGGGGAACCGAACCCAGGGCCTCAGGCATGCAAGGCAAGCGCTCTACCACTGAGCCACCTTCCCAGCCCCTCGGGTTTTCTTTGTTACTGCAGATTTACTCCCCTGTAGCATTCACAGTCAAACCAAGAGGGAAGTTGCTGACCAATTGCAAATCAGCTGTCTCTCTGGCAGCAACTCTGGAGCAGGCCAAAGCCATTTTCTTTCCTGCTCAAAAGTTTAAGACCTGATTCTGTGAGCAGAAGATTCCTTCTCTCCTTGTCTTACCACATCAGCAGGAAGTAGCCAGACGAGACAAAGGCTCCCTCTTCCCTTGTGTCTTCTACTTTTCCAGACTCAGGAATGATGAAAAATGACTTGAACTGAAAGCACTCACCTTTCCCCTGACAGCCAGATCTTAGAACTGTCTGCTAACAACCCCACCGAATCATCTCCCCCTCCTCCCCCTGAACAAACGCAGCCAGAGGTCCTTGAAGGGAGCTTGGGGCCACGGTCAATGTCTGATGCTGACATCCCTGGTGGACAAAGATGCTGTTGAGACCTTGAAATGCCTCTCTCAAAGTATCACTGCTCACCCATCCAGCCTCCACTCACCCGCTTCCATCTGCCTGCCTGACTTCACCCTTCCCACCTAATATTTTATTAGAGAGACCCTAGTTGTAAGTATGGGGGGGGCACCTCGCTATTTCCCCTTCAGCCAGGCTGAAGGAGACTTGGTTGCCCTTCCCAAGCTTTCCTCCCCCGTGAGACCTGTTGGTATGTTGAACTGGCCCTTTCTGCTCTTTTTCTTCTCTTACACAGGAGAGAATTCACACAGAGTAATTCATTAGAAAGGCTTATAGCCCAATAAGATTAACATTCAGAAATGGCTATTTGAAAGGTGAAAGGTGAGATCAAGGGGGAGGAGTAGACAAAGGAAGAGAAAAGCTGGGTTGGGGAGGGGGAGACAGTGGTAACTACTACACTGAGGGGAGGGGGAGGGTTGGGATGGATGGGGAAGAAAGATGAAATGGGTGACATTGATGCTTTGTGTGCATACACTGCTTTGTCAGATCAAGATGCTTTGTGTGCATACACTGCTTTGTCAGATCAAGATGCTTTGTGTGCATACACTGCTTTGTCAGATAGCAACTCCTTTGTAGAACTATTTAGACAACAAAACAATTTAAAAAACATATCCTCAGATGCTACATCACACTTAAAATATAACAATTTCTTAAAATCATTAAGTTCCCAATAAACATTTCACCCTCTTCCTTCTTTACCCTCCCTCACTCTTCTCCTATCCCCTTCCCCTTCTCTCTCTCTTCCTTTCTTTCTTCCTTTCTTCCTTTCTTTTTGTCTTTCTTTTCTTTTTCTTTTTTTCTTTCTTTCCTTCCTTCCTTCCTTCCTTGTTTTCTTTCATTTTTCTTCCTCCTCCCTCCCTTCCTTCTTTCCTCCCTTCCTTCCTTCCTTCCTTCCTTCCTTCCTTCTCTTTCTTTCATCCTTTCTTCTCTGTCTGTCTCTCTGTCTGTCTCTCTGTCTGTCTCTCTGTCTCTCCCTCTCCTGGGATAAGAGTCTTCCTGTGTAACCCAGGCTGGTTTCATGATCCTTCTGCCTCTCCCTTCTGAGTGCTGGAATTACTATGTCTGACTTTCAAAAAACTTTCAACATGTGTTTGTTTAACACATGTTTAACACATTAGAATCTAATGTTAGGCCCAGACTTTGGAATTGATTGATATATCTATTTGGTAATCTACATCTGCTGTACTTGGATACTTGTTTACCTTTTGGCAATTTGTTTCTATTACTGGGTAAATTAGTTCATTTGTCTTAATAAGTGTCTCACAGTCTGACTCTATCCTTATGGAGTTCTTTAGTATGTGGCTCAAATGGTATAGTGCCAGCTGTGAGCAGAAAAACCTAGGCAAAAGAATGAGGGCCCAAGGTCAAGTCCAATCAGCACACATACACACAATTATCATTTATATGCCAGATTTCAAAAAGGTGAAATTGCTTCCTAGCATCTTTGTTAGTGACTAGCTTTATGTTTGTTTGTTCATTTTTTTGCCTCACATGTACTTAAGGGCATAGTTATAATTTGCTGAATATTAATCCATAGTAATATTACTGATACTTATCTTTAAATTTTTAAAAGTACTTACCTTTAAAAATTTAAATTTTATGTTATTGTTATTTAATTTTTCTGTGCCAGAACTAGGGCTGAAACTCAAGGTTTGGGTGTTGTCCCTTAGCTTTTTTTGCTCAAAGCCGGTGCTCTACTTGAGCCACAACTCCACTACCAGCTTTTTGCTGAGCTACTTCAAACTGTGATCCTCAGAGTAGCTAGGATTATAGGCACAGGGCACTAGCGCCTGGCTTTTGTTATTATGACTCCTATTATTACCAGTAGAAGCTTATTCGGGTGGACACTTGAGTCTTTTGATATAACCCTTGTAAGTCTTTGACTTCCTGGTTTTTGGAAGGGCAACCTGTTCTGAGGTCTACATGTCCTATCCTAGGCCCACAGCCAGCTTTTTCTTCAAACCACTGTCTCTTTTTAATGGGAAATATATTTAGAGACAATATGAGCACACATTGCTTTAGTCATTGTCTATAACATTCCAGAGGATAGCGCGAGGATTATTTTTAAAGAGTTCATATGCTACCCCATAATAATAATACACAAGTATGCATATCTCATAATACACACATTTAGAGTGTTAGGATCACAATACAAACACTACCACCAAGAATGTAATTATTGAAAACAGTTTAAACCTTCTTTGTTGCATATTGTTTCTGAGCCCAGAGGATTTATCACTAGGGACACAATCAAACCTGCTGGACTTTAAGGTCACTTGGAAAAGGTTTTTCTTTGTGTGGATGTGCCAGCGATGCACTAGACAACACGTCGATCACTTAATTCTCCTTGTGATATTTTAGGAAAGAAAACAACAAAGCAGCTAAGGCCAAGAGTAGAAAATAATAAAAGTAAAAGCATGATCGTGGTTCAAAGGCAGCCTGGCCAGGAAAGTCTGTGAGACTCTTATCTCCAGTTAATTACCCAAAAAATCTCAAAGTAGAGCTGTAGCTCAAGTGGTAAAATGCTAGCCTTGGACAAAAAACCCTCAGGGACAGCTCCCAGGCCCTGAATTCAATCCTAGCACTAAAAAATAATGAATTAATATACTAGCAGAGATAGAGTATGATCCATAGATACTTGAAAGTTATTGTTGTTTTCATTTTTAAAGAAAGATAACTTACTAATTTGTGACCAATTTGTGTGTGTGTGCGCGTGTGTGTTGCCAGTACTGGGATTTGAACTCAGGGCCTAGTGCTTTTGCAAGGCTTTCTCTGCTCAAGGCTGGCACTCTAGCACTTTAGCCACATACTCCCAGCCCAGTATCTTATTTGCTGGTTAACCAGGCTAGATTCTCAAAAACTTTTCTGCCTGGGTTAACTTCAAACGGTGGTCCTCCAGGTCTCAGCCTTGTGAGTAGCTAGGATTATAGCAGTGAACCACTGGAGCCCAGCAAATCATTTTAATGTTTAAGAAAAAAAATGAAGGAATATGAAAAAAGAAAATAAAGGAAAAGGCAAAGAGAAAGGAAATGCATCAAGCAGCAGACATAGAAGACACAAACTCCCTGCGTAACCCTGGCAGGCCTCACACTCAGAGTCTCTTCCCAGTCAGCACTGAGTGTGAAGGAGAGTGGAAAGACAGAACTGTGCTGGCATGGACCTAGGGGTGCAGCCTGTGACCCTGCTGCAGGTACGCCCAGCTGATCCCTGGGTCCCGTCCAGCTTTGGAGGGGGTGAGCCATCGGCCAGCAGGGGGCAGCAGTGCTCCATGGAGTTCTGAACCCCACTCCCGGAGCTCCATCAGAGAGCTCTTCTGCCCCTCTGGATTTCCTGGGCACCCATTTCCCTGAGCCAAATGCCAGTCTGCTTAAAATAGCTTGGTTCTTGCTTTCTGCAAATGAAACAGCGAGATTCACAGGGTTACCAGACAAGGAGAGGAGTGAGAAGCCGCTGTAAGAATGTATACAGATGAAGACTGGAAAGTACCTTTAAAACAGCGTTATTGGTATGGTTTAGAAGTCATCTGTCAAATCCTCCCCAGAATGGGGACTTTCAGAAGGCTTTATGATGAGTGTAGAAAGGGCACTGGACAGTGTGGATGGAGCCTCTACAAGGCACAAACTCTTTTTGTTTTTTGTGCCAGTCCTGAGGCTTGAACTCAGGGCCTGGGCACTGTTCCTGGGCTTCTTTTGCTCAACGTTAGCACTCTACCACTTGAGCCCACAGCACCACTTCCAGCCTTTTCTGTGTATGTGGTACTCAGGAATCGAACCTAGGACTTCATGCATACTAGGCAAGCACTCTACCACTAAGCCATATTCCCAGTTCACAAACTCTTACCAGCAGGTGCAGAAGTGGATTTGGGCGCTGGAAGTAAACTCCTGCGGGGTGTGGTCACACTGGAAGGGGGTGGAGGGGCTGCTCGGCTGGGCCCCTTGGGCATGTCCTTAGAAGACAGAGCTGCCTTTGGAGCTGGCTGTTCTTCATTCCCTAACGTCGAACCTGTGGAGCAGAGAGTATGTTAATTATGACCCTGGGCAAGGGTGGTGGAGTGGGTGGGGGAAGGACACCCTGCCATTCACACTGGCCATCCAGTCATAAGGCTGACATCTGCCTTAGAACTTGACTTCGTAAGTGGGTGACCTTGGGAAGCATTGCCCTGCAACCAAGTGTGGAAAGTAACTCTTTTTAGTTCCCAGCTAAATAAATGCCTGTCCTGTAGCTGGACCCTGACAGCTCCTGCCTGTAATCCCAGCTACTCAGGAGGCTGAGATCTGAGGATCACCATTCAAAGCCAGCCAGAGCAGCCGAATCCAATTAACCAGCACAAAGCTGGAGGTAGAAGCATGGTTCAAGTGGCAAAGTGCCAGCGTGGAGTGAAAAAAGAGAAACCAGAGCAAGAGGAGATGAGTTCAAGCCCCAGTGCCTTTCACAAAATAAGACACGAATAAATGGCTGTCATTTAAACTCTACATCAAAGGAGGCGCCACAAAATCCAAGACCCTCTCTGAAATTTAACGCACGTGTGCACTCACTTTGCTTATGTGTGACAGAATGGGGTGGGTCACTCACAGAAAGTGATGGGCACTTTTCTTGAAACAAGAGTGTGATTAACCCAGGACAAATGAGAATCAAATATCAGTTATCCCTTTGGATCGATGGGGGCTGGGTTCCAAGAGCCCCTGTGGTTGTCTAGGCCCTCAGGTGCTTCTTGTGTAATAGGGCCCAGGACTTATGTAGAATGGGGCACATTATCCTGCACATTTAAAATCATCTCTGGTGAGGTATAATAGCCAGTACAATGAAGATGCTATGTGAACTATCATTACACTGTATCGCTCAAGAAATAATGACAAGGAAAAATACCTCACCATGCTCAGTCTGGATGTAATTGGGGGGGGGGGGGGTGGATATGAACTCAGTGGAGTCCTATCAGTGGAACTATATTCCCAGGCTGGTTTTTTTTCTTGGTTATTTTTAGGATATGGTCTCAGTTTCTATCCAGGCATGCACCTGGATTGCCTACTCTCTCTCTCTCTCTCTCTCTCTCTCTCTCTCTCTCTCTGTATGTGTGTGTCTATGTGCGCATGCATGCACTACTATTGGGGCGTGTAGGCACTTAGATTTTTTGTTTTTTTTTTTTGTTTTTTTTTTTCCTCAACGCTGATACTACAGTCACAGGTCCACTTCTGGCTCTTTGGTGGTTAATTGGAGGTGAAGAGTCTCACAAACTTTCTGCCAGGTGGCTTTGAATTACAACCCTCATATCTCAGCTTCCTGAGAAACTAAGATTATACAGACAAGCACCTGGCTTAGACAAGCTTTTTGTCTGAAGAACTGAGTCCTACCCAGACTGGAAGGATAGCATACCTACTTGATTTATTTCAAAGGCAGAAGGCCTGAGTGGATAGCTACAGTTAATAGTATAGAAATTACTCTTTCATCTGTTGTATGCTGTACGCTGGTTACAACCTGACACACTGGCAGCCTGCAGGCATGGCACACTGGTGTATTTGTATGAAATTTACTATGAAATGTTGCATGGCCCAACATTTCCTCTAGATTTTCTAAACCCTTTTGTGATATATATGTATATACAAACACACACATATATACATATATAGATAGGCATCTTTGAAGACAATGAAACCATCATCTTGTTCCTATTAAATGATAAATCTTCTGATTGTACTGAGATGATTGAACAAACCTGTCCAATCATAGGATCATGACCATGAATTAGAAGTACACAGCATTGGAGAGAAAGATTAAGCTATTTTTTAAATATTCATCATTTTAAAAGGATACCATAACATGCTATGTCAATAGAGCCCGTGCAGCAATGACCAGAATGGCTTTAGGGGGTCACACCACATCTCTCCAATTTGAGAAGGGGGGTGTCTGCATTTCCTCCTTTGAGGACTAGAAACCTGCTAAAAATCAGTGAAATTTGTGATTTTTTTCCCCAACAAAAAGAAGCACACTTAAGAAGGAAAAAAAATAGTTTTTGTTTTTGTTGTGTTGTTGTTTTGTTCTATTTGTTGGAAACAGAACATGTATCTTGTGTCTTACAGGGTTTTTGTTTTTGTTTTTGTTTTGGTGCTGGTCCTAAGGCTTGAATTTAAGAGTTCTGTGCCTGAGCTTTATTTTGCTCAAGGCTAGCTCTCTACTACTTGAGCTACAGCTCCACCTTTGGCTTCTTGGTGGTTAAATGAAGATAAGAGTCTCACAGACTTTCCTGCCCAAGCTAGTTTCTAACCACGATTGTCAGCTCTCAGCCTCCTGAGTAGTTAGGAGTACAGTCTTGAGCCACCAGTGCCGACCCCACTCCCCCTGCCCAGTTCTTTTAAGGTACTGTGCAATCATTTCCATCATTGTAAGCATAGCAGAGGGGATGCACTTGATCTCTGTAAACTGAACAAAGAGGCTGGAACTCCACGGATAGAGTCTGCACAGTGTCCTGGGTATCATATACAGAAGCATGTGTACATTTGATCCAAACCCAGCCAGGAAATGCAACACCATGCACTTACAAAACAGTGAGGCTTCACTTCTGAATTGTTTGGCAGGCCCTCCAGTTCCTGTGCTACAGAAATCAGGGAATCTTGAATTTGTATGTGATATTTCACACCAAGGATGCACTTGGGATGAGAGGTATTTCACATGGAATCCTCACAGTTCAGCGTGCTGCTGACATGCTGCCAGAATCAGCTAGTCAGGGAGATAGGTAGAAGCTGCATCAAGCACAAATGTGTCGGTGCAGTCTTTTGCTTGTCAACTTATTAAATTTTCATCAGAACAGAAATATTTTGTATTACTTGCAGGGTTCAAAAGCCATTTGATCAAATCCTCTTGTATCTGGTATGATCTCCCTTAAAATTTATTATTCAGTGAACATGTCAATTTAGAGATTTGGCTGAGGAGAAATATGTGAAATGCCTGAGCTAAGAAGGCCTCACCCCTCCCTTTTCAGATGGGGCTTGCGATACCAAAAACTAAAAAAGAATAAAATAAAAGAACAATGTAATGAGATGGATGCTGATGGCTCACACGTCTCCTAGCTACTCAGGAGGGAGAGGTCTGAGGATCCCAGTTGGAAGCTAGCCTTGCAGAAAAGTCTGGAGTTGTGGCTCAAGTGATAGAGCACCAGTCTGGGGTGAAAAAATCAAGATGAGAGCATGAGGCTCCAAGTTCAAGCTCCATTGCGTGTGCTCGCGCGCGCACACACACACACACACACACACACACACACACAGAACAGTATCATGTGTGTTCATTAGTGTGGGATATGGCAGGGATTAAACAGCTCTACGCTTTGGAGTCTGGCTCTAGTGAACTAGTAATTAAAGATGTATTATTCAATAAATGAAATATGAAATATATATTATTCAATGAAATATATATTATTCAATAGGTGAAAAACATTGAGTTTGGAAATGGGTGAGAGATTCTAACAGCTCCAAGTACTTCACAACAATGCTGGCAACATAAAAACATTCCTTACGAAGAGAAAGAAAACAAGGAAATAAACAGTGTGAGCCAGAAAAAAGAAACCACTGGAGAATTCAGACTGTTAGAAGTAGTTCACCCAGCACAGCTAATTCAGGCTTCTCCTTTCCAGCCAACCCCAATCTACCCAGGCCTACATGTTGCAGGCAACCTCTCTGTCTTTCCTTTTGGCCACAGAATGGCAGAAACTGTGGCAAGGTGTAGGCTGGGGAAAACACAGTCAGAGTATGAACCAATTTACTTTCTGTTCCTCAGTTTCCCCATTTGTATGTGGGATAAGTCACTTCATAGAGTTTTGGGAGAACCCAAAGAGCTACCACAAGGACATAGATAGATAGATAGATAGATAGATAGATAGATAGATAGATAGATAGATAGATAGATATAAAATTTGTGAGAGAACTGGGCACTGGTAGCTCACATCTGAGATCATGGTCCAAAGCCAGCTTGGGCAGAAAAGTCTGTGACATTCTTACCTCCAATTAACTAGCAAAAAGCTGGAAGTGGAGGTGTGGCTCAAGTGGTAAAGCACTAGCTTTAAGCAGAAGCAAAAACAAAAACCCCTATGCAACCCAAATGATAGCATTAGGCTCTGAATTATAGGCCCAGTACTCTTATATTTTCTCTCTGTCTCTCCCCCCTCTCTCTCACAAGTGAGAAAGTACAAGAAAACACTTACTAGTGTCTGGTACCTTGTATTTGCTCACGTTAATTGCTAACTTGCATACTAATTTAAAATTTTCAGCTAGTCATTAGAATAAATCAGCTTCTCATAGGAACTTACAAAGTCTCCCAGCAGCTCATTTGATTTCAGCTCCTCTAAGTGGAGAGGGAAAGACTGTGGTAAGTCCAATCATCTCTGCAGGATGGAAGATTAAGTGTAAGCTTTTCAAAATATGATGAAGTATTTTCCACATAGAAAAGTTGAGCTCTGGTAGCTCAAGCCTGTAATCCTACATACTCAGGAGGTTGAGATCTGAGATCATGGTTCAAAGCCAGCCTGAGCAGAAAGTCTAGGAGACTCCTATCTCCAGTTAACCAGTAGAAATCCAGAATGGAAGTGTGGCTCACATGGTAGGGCACTAGCCTTGAGCAAAAAAAGCTAAGGGAGTTTATGAGGCCCTGAGTTCAAACTCCAATACTGGCATACACACACACACACACACACACACACACACACACACACACACACACACACACACACACAATGAGATTATAAGTGAAGTAAGTTAAGCTCAGAGAGACAAAAGGTACATGTTTTCTTTCATATGTGGAAGTTAGAGCTAAATAAAACATACAGGAACCTCTGCTTCTATATATAAACTGACTGAAGTATGGTATACAATTATTCAATGTATACAATATGGTATACAATAAGGATTCCAATGCTGTAACTTCTTTGAACAACTAACTTTACAGTTTAACAAAATGAAGACCAGGAATCTGAAATATGTTTTCCCTGAGGAAGTAGAGCTTTAGGAGAAGAAGGCAGA